TTCTGTGGTCCTTTCAGGATGTAACGCAGCGTCTGTGTAACATAAAAGATTCCAGTAAGCACTGTTCGATAGTACTGTCCTTGTAGATTATCGTGCGTTCAAGAGTAGCTGCAGGCTGTCTTCCAAAAGAGATAGAAGCGTTGGTAAATTTTGGAAAAATCACGCGTTTCTAAATTCTACTCGCCGTAACTTCCTTCGGAATGAACATATTCTGAATCCGAAGAAAGTCCATCAAGGCAAGTCTTTCGATATACAGCATATCCTTGATATTCCGATTTCAATATTCTCAAATCTTTCTGTAAACGTCTTTTCGCGAAGGTGTAAAGCAGCGCGCATTGCCCCTAGTAGACTCCAGCAAGGACCTTTCGATAGTACTTTTTCTGTAGATTACGTAGCGCTAAAAAGTAGTCACAGGCATCTTTCCAATGGAGGTAGAAAGGCTGGTAAATCGTGAAAAAAGTCTTGTTGTACCAAATTCTACTCGTCGCAACCCTAGAATGAGACACTCGCATTGCGGATATTATGTTCGCTTCGCTCAATGACTCCACTGTATTGCTTGCGTGTGCTTCAGCAATTGAATATTAAAGCTGTTTTGTGGCTAGAGCTCAAACCACCAAATCTAACACAATAAGATCCATTAAGAATGTGAAAATATTTGATCAGCATGTTGTACAAGCACTCATGGTGGAATTTCAACGAAATATGCGATCTTCACATTTTGGGCGAAATTCATGAGAACGTGTTTTCGTAGGCTCGTAACTCGGCGAATTTTATAGACTGGAGCCTGAGTCATGCGCCATTCGATAGCACATCTTCTAGTAACTTTGATTAGAAAAGCAAACAGGCAGGTTTTTTGACAGATACGTGAGAGGTGGAGGCGACGTTACGAGCTTTCGTGAATCCGTTGCAGTTGTCTCACCATTTCTCTGCAAAAAGACCCCATCCTTGACAGAAAACACGATTTTCATAAGCAGTGTGTTCGAAAACCTCTATGAGCGGCGTTCCTTCAAAATTGAAAATCATCAGCATTTTGACCAAAACCCACCAACCAGCTTCAGAGCGTCAGACAAGAAAAAATGAAATCACCCGAACATCTCGGAAAACTTGTTCATAAGGGTTATTCAACCTGGTGATTACAAAACTCACATCTGCTTAGCAAGATAGGCTCGTATTCTAGGGTTGCGACGAGTAGAATTTGGTACAACAAGACTTTTTTTCACGATTTACCAGCCTTTCTACCTCCATTGGAAAGATGCCTGTGACTACTTTTTAGCGAGTACTCTGCGTTGATACCACTGCTT